TATTAGAATAAAGTTGCAAAATCCTCTGTTTAAGTGTCTACATTATAAGTGGCTACATTTTTTTATACCATAATGTTATTTTTTTTAGAAGTTCGTCAGTTGTTATTCATTCTAGGTCACAGAAGGTAGGCAGTCACTGGACAGCTATAGGGACCTGGTAAGTCTGCCCTGTGCACGCCAACAGTGGCATGGAGGCTTTGTTGATCTGCAGCAGCCTATCCCACCATCTCAGAAGGCAGGCACACACTGAACAGGTACAGGGACCAGGTGAGTTCTGCCCCACCCTCAACGCCATCTCAGGAACTTTGCTGAACTTCGCCCCTTCCACCATATCCCAGGAGACTTGGTGAGCCCTAACCCTGCTCACCCCCACACCATTATGAGAGCCTTGCAGAGCTGCAGTCTTCCTGCATCATCCCTACAGCCTTCCTGAGCTATGGCTCGTCCCTCCTTCACTGTAGTGGAAGCTATACTGAACCTCACATAGTAGGAGATTTGGTCACCCTACCCCACTCCCCCACTGTTCCACGATGTTGGACTTTGTCAAAAGCTTTGTCTGCATCTATTGCGATGACCGTGTGAGTCATGGTCATGTGATTGTTTTTGGCTGTGTTGATAGATAGCATTTCATTTATTGACTTACAGATGTTGAACCATCCCTGCATTCCTACGATGAATCCCACTTGGTCATGGTATCCAATCTTCTTGAATTCCTGCATTCTGTTCTTCTTATTGTTCTTCAACATCTCTATTTCTTTTTTCATCAAAGCTTTAAATATTCATAAAAATACCACAAGGTGGCACCCAAAACCTCCTAAAAATATTTTTGGAGATTTCTTGGCATTTTTCATACAATACTCATAGCAAAGGTCCCTTAATTCCAAGCAAGAATGATCTTTTTCTTGACAACTGCTCTTGCTTATGCTACCCTCCCTGGAAGGGTAAGATTCCAGGGTACAGGGACACATTTCTTTACCTGAGGGACGTCTTCTAACCCTTTCCTGGGCTCTGGGAAATTCATTCCAAAGCCCTGGTGATGCGGCACCTCTCTAGGTACTGTTGTCCTTGGGAAGGGACAGGACAGAGATGGAACAAAAAGAGGCCTCTGAGAACAACTCTCCCTGCATTACTACTCAATGAATAAATTTCTAAAAAGTCCAAGAATTCTAAGACATTTAAGGTGTCTTTACTGAGGTAGAAATAAGTAATTTGTTATCTTTATTCATCTCATATATTTAGCTATAGGGTATTGCAGAACTATATTTTAACTCTTAATTTGCCTGGCAAATATTATAGACAGGACTGTGCACTAAACCTATGGGATTGTATTAGTTTTGAAATTTCAGTAATGAAATTAACATTTGAAGAACCTGTATTGGATACTCATCAGGGAATAAAACGGATTATATATTTTCCATAATAGAATTTGTAAAAACAATGAATGTGACAGCTATAAAAGCTATCATTGATATTCTAGATTGTCCTTCTAGGAATGGTAGGACTGTAGTTACCTGGCCTTTAGTATTAAGTATGATAATGTGGCTACTTTGGTTTATTAAATCTTCTAGTTTATTCTTATACATATGTACGGTGTAGAATATGTCTTGATACAGATATACATTATGAAATAATTATGATTAAGCTAATTAATGTCATCTCACATACTTAATATGTGTATTGTGTAATGAGACTATTTAAGATGATTCTCAACAAATTTAAAGTACACACGACAGCAGCGATGGTGAATCTTGAAGAGCTTTCATTGATACCACACGGTGGCCTGCGGCACCTGCCACAGATTCACCATCACTGCAGTACAGCATTAACTATGACCACAGTGCCACACATTAGGTCTGCAGACTTTCTTCTTTCTGCCTAATGAGAACATTTTTTCCTTTGATAAACATCTCATTTTTCCTACTCCCAAACTCTAGCAACTGTCATTCTAATATTTTCTTTTTGAATTTTGAATTTTCTAGACTCCACAGATACTAGTTTGTATAATAGGAATTTGTACAGGTTTGGCTTATCTCCCTTAGCCTAATACTACACAGGTTCATGCACTTTGTTTTGCTGTTGACATTGACAGTATTACATTTTTAAGGTTGAAAAATACTTCTTTGTACAATAGGTATCACATTTTCTTTATATATTTTTCTTTTCTTTCTTTTTTTTTTTTTCTGAACTGGGAATTGAACTCAGACTCTTGTGCTTGCCAGGTATTTTTTCTTCTGATGAACTATTTATTGATTCCATGTCTTTACTATCATGAGGAGTTCTGTAGTGAAAGTTGGAGTGCAGAACCTCTGTACCATACTGATTTTGGATCCTTTGGATACATATCCTGTGGAAGGATTGCTGAATCACATGATAAATGTACTCTTGATTATTTTAGGACACATTGAACTGTTTCTCATAGTGGATGCATTGATTTGCATTCTCACCAACAATGTGCCTTTTTCTCCACATCTATGCCAACACTTGCTATTGTCTTTTGTGTGACAGCCATTCTGACACACATGAGAACTCTCACTGTGCTGTTGATTTGTATCTAATTAGTAATGTTACACATTTCTTTCATATCCTTATTATCTATTTTTGTTGGAGAGATGTCTATTTGAGACTGGCCATTTAAAGAAGTGTTTTGTTGTGACTGAGTTACTTTTATATTTTGCATACTAAGCCTTATCAGCTATATATTGTGCATAACCCTCTTCTTCCATACACAGGTGATCTTTTCTCTGTATTTTATTTTTGCATTCTCATTTCCATAATTTTTCTTTGGTGTCTTGCGCTTTTAAGTAACAAAAATTCTCAGACAATATTGAGAAGCTTTTGCTGTTTGCTATTAGCAGTTTCAGTTTTAGGTGTTAGACTTACATCTTTAATCTATTCTAACTATTTTTTATTATTTTTTTTATTTTAGGGAAGGGCTTACAGGGTATTCAGTTTCACTACTAGATTGTACTCAGTCATCTGTCTGTTTACAGCCTCCCGAGAGCTGGGATTACAGGGGTGCGCGCCACCACACCCAGTCTCAATTGCCATCTTATAGTGCCCCTGGGGTGGGGCTGGCACAGCAGGCCTGGGGATCGAATCCTGGCCCCTGCACGTGCTTGCAGGTGCTTTAATCCATGGAGCTATTTGGCTGGCCCTCTAGTTCATTTTTTTGCTTGGTGTAAGAATCTAACTTTATTCTTTTATGTGGATAATTTCTCCAATATCATTTATCAAGAAGACTGTACTTTATACTTTGTGTGTTCTTGAAAATTTTATCAAGGATGACTAGAACATACATGCATAGATATATGTATCAGTCAGTGTTTACTAGAGAAATAGTATAAGAGAGACAAAAATGTAAGAATTGACAGATTGGCTTATGATGACTGTCCATAGAGTTGGGTGTGGAAGAGTGCCAAAGGGCAGACTGCACTGGAAATCCGAAGCATCTAGTCAAAGACCTGGTGCTTCATGTAGTTTTGTACTCACTCAGTGTGGGAGTCTGCATCAGGAGAGTGGAGGGCCTGTGCTGGAAGGCTAAAGCATCGATGCTGGAGGCTGAAGAGTCACACTTAGAGCCAGGAGACAATGCCCAAGGTGAAAGGAAAGACTAGAGATCTTTAGAAGAGACAAAAGCAAACGTGATCCTCTACCAGCTCGGCAGGAGAATCTGCTATACTCCTCTACCTGAGCACATGGCAATTTGCCAGAAATCTTTGTTATTTCTTGGCTTGTAGAAACATCGCCTTCAGCTTCATACGACATTTTCCCTCAGCCTGTGTCCAAGCATCCTCTTCTGTAGGGACCCAGTCATACTGATTAGAGCCCATCTTATTACAACAGACCTCATGCTGACTATATGTGAAACAACACTGTTTCCAAATATGACATTTTGAGGTGGTCAACATATGAAGTTCAGATAGGAAACATAGCTTTTTAACATATTTAACATTCTCCACCAAGTTTTGCACTGATTTTCACTTTGTCTATGCTTACCTCACTGCATTCAAGGCAGCAAAGACAACACAAGTCCTGTCCTTCTGTGAATTATGACACGGCTTCTTTGCCTGAGAATGTTTTGTATTCATGCAGCAAATCTATATATTTTCAAATTGAAGCTAAATGATCTTTCCCCTATAACTAAGTTTCCTATGTAGAGATATCTAATTTTTTGCTCCCCTAAATCCTTCATTTCTACTGGTCTCCTGGAATTTGGCATGTCCTAATTTGTAATTTGCGCTGTTCCTGGCTTACAGTCTATAACCCTTACCAGGCAATAAGACCCTTACAGAGTTAAGGTACATTTATCTGTTAATATTCTCAAGTGATTTTCAGTTCTCTATATTTGTTGAACAAAATTATAAAATCATAGAAATTGTTTAAAATCCTTGATATGCATTATCATTTACTTTTTAAAGACTGTAGAAAAAATATATTTTGGGCTTTAATAAATTATATAGAAATTTTAAAAAATGTGTTCAAGACGACATGTACTTTCAGACCCCTAATCCTGAAATCTATAAAATTCTGATAATTAGATATCATCAATATAAGAACATATTATACAATACTAAGATTTTTCCTACAATATTGTATTTAGAAATTCTGGGGCTGGGAGATAGCTTAGTGGGTTAAGTGCCTGCCCAGCAAGCTCAAGGTCCTGAGTTTGATCCTTAGTACCACAGGAAAAAAAAAGGAAATTCTAATGGTACAAGAAGAAGTTTCATTTCATTCATGTTGTAGTTCATTCAATATTTATCAATCCCATTCTAGGTAATTTAAGTAGATTTTTTTTTTTTTTTTTTTTTAAAAAGGAGGTATTGTAGAAAAATGAAAACTGCAACTGAAGGGCTGGGAGATGAAGACAAGAGGACTGTAAGCTCAAGCCTGAGCAACTTAGTGGGACCATCTCTAAAAAACAAAACAAAACAAAAACTAGACAAACACTTAAGAGTTTAGAGCTGGAATTTATTTCTTCAGAAGCAAAGCTGTTTTACCTGTTTTTTTTTTATTTAAAGGAACTGTATTCTATACATATATGCTTCTTTTCATATAAACACACGTATATATATATATGTACACTGGTATAATTTGCATATATTAAGCATATAATGTATATGCTTTTTTTGCTGTGTACATCTATACTGCTACTCAAATGTGACATAACTTTAGATAAACAGTTATAAAACTCAGGCTTTAGACATTAAAACTATTTTAAGACCCTATTCGTATACAACCTATCTTAATGGATACAATATCAACATTATAAACAAGCACTGTAAATCAATGTTGGTATTTGCTAACTTAAATATTCAAGGACTTGGTTTGAAGAGTCCAACAGATTGAAAGTCTGCTTTTGAAGAGAACCATGGTCTTCTATCAGTGAAGCACCTTTGACATTTCTGTACCCTAACAGTTCATGGCCCTTGCTTGATGTCAGTTGCTCATTATTGACTATACCAATTGTTGACTCTTCTATCAGGATATCTGCTTGGTGTGTTCCAACTGGAATTTCAGGCAATCCAATGTAGTCATGATCTGCCACTATAGAACCTTGCAAGAGGTAAAGACTGTCTAAAAGAAGAAATACAATAAATTTGTTTTTCGGAATTATAAATATCATTTTAAAAATAATGTTGTGAGGAACAAAATTAAATATATATATATCAAAGAAGGAACAAAATGAAGTATGTATACATTTGACAGTTCATATATAAAGGATACAGGAAGACGAATGATGTCAACTTCAAATTTTCCTATTCCCTTGATTTCTTTGGTAGATATTTATGTGTGGAGACAGGTAATAGCAACGGTATAGATCAGTTGATGAGGAGCCTTCCAGAGGCTGAGTGCCCAACTATAACCTCAAGCCCACGTACTTATCACAAAGTACCAACACTGCAATTAGGCCTGAATACTGATGTTTTAGTATAGAAAAAACAACTTATGCATTAACATCTTTTTTTCTTAAAAGTAAAACACAATTAACACACATGCCATGAGTTTGCCACCACTGGTATAGATTACAAAGAGAACTGTGATATTATTGATAATGACATACACTTAATATGCTTCTGTAAAAAAAAAATTCTAGGTGCATTAACAAATTGAGCAATGATATTTTAAGAAATAAAATTGTCACTTTCTTATATTTACAATGTTATATACTTCTCCAGTCTTCTTACAATCCACATTGGGAAGATAATATCAAACTGCTACAATATGAACTTACGAACTAGATGAAGAGAGTTTCTAGGATCAGCTTCACATGATAGGAACATGGGCAGAGGCAGGCTACAAAAAGTGCCTTAAAAGGCTTAGCTTATTTTAATATGGGGAACCAGGGATTGAACTCAGGCCTTCGTGCTTGCCAGGGAAGCACTTATTCTACTGAGCCATCTCCCCGGCCCCAGGTTTAGCTTATGTAAGTCTAATTTGATACCAAAATTCTTATGAACTTTTAAGGCCTACCTGATCCTCACTAAAACACTCATTGAGAATCTTCCTTGTCTTCCTTTCAGTGAAGTAATTATCCTCCATGGAAAAAGTGTTTAAAATGAATGTTAAACAGATAATAAAAGTAGCAGTATATTTTAATATAAATATACAGAAAGGGAATATTCATTCCTTTATGATGATTTAATTCATTGCCAAAAGGAAATTTTCTACTACTTCCTGATCACTGCCTTTTCTTTCCAGACTTTCTACTAAAACATTAACAGATAATCTTGAGGATGTTGATTGATTTCAGAGTCCTCAATCTTTCAAGTTTAAGAAAGAACAAAAAGAAGATGAGCTGTACAATAGATCAGGGATTAATGAAAGTTTCTCAGAGCAGATAAACTTGCTCATATATCCAAGAAAATGATCCCACTGAATTGATCTCTATTCATCCTTTGAAGTGAGCCTATTTCCACCTCACAAATTCACAAATTTAAGAACTTTCAATGTAGAAATTTCAATATATCAGAAAAGTCTATGCTTTCTATTAACATATGTCATTAGTAGGCTTGGCATTATATGGCCATTTAGTTTGTTCTTTCAGTTCTCTATTAGGCAAAACATGGCCTGTATTTTAATTTAAAAGTTTTGCCACATTTAACCTCTTCAACTGTTACTACGGTAAAAGCAGGGAGTAGACTAAATAATGGCATTAAGAATATATATTATTTATAATAGAACTAAGGTATAAAGACAAAAAAAAAAGCTAAGTGAAATAAAAGTATAGCTAACTGAAGGATGTAAAAATGATTTCTGAATATCTCTATGGATAAAATCTAAACAAGAGAAATGACATATAAAATACAAATCATGCAATAAGAGGTATTATGATCCATAGCAGGAAAAAGGAAGAAAAGTGATAAATGAAATCAAAACACTTGAGAGAACTTTAAAAACAAACATATAGTAAAAGTGCTCCTGGTGGACTTTCCAGTAGCCACAGGGAATTTCACAGGCTCAAAGCCTGTACACGGCTACAAAGATGCCAGTATGGAAGATACCATACTAATTTTAAGAAGTTTCCAAAGATACCTTCAGAAATCTCTGATTGAGGAGGGTTTCTACTCCCCTACTTTTTGTATACAGTGGAGTAGGTTGGTCTATTTTAGAAAAATATGCCTACTAAATATGTATTGGTACACAAAAAATTATGTTTAGATATTAAGCTCTTAAGATTTACTACTTTGATTTCTTGAAAATGCATTCAGAAACTATGAACTTAAGTAATTCTTATACTAGACTTAGAATTTCAACTACAGTTTACCAATATCACCTATTAGTAGGCAGAAAGTTTCTACATGTATACAATATTATACACATTTTTTTTTTATCTTTTCATTTTTTTGTGTAGGCTCTCATTATCCAGCTCAAACTTGTAGTGATCTTCCAATTTTCAGCCTCCCCAGTACTGGGATTACAGGTGTGTGCCACCATGCCGACTTACATACTTTTTCTTTTAAGTGATAATTTTTAAAGTATTTATTTTAATTAAATTGTAGAAAACAAAGACTATACTCAACAAGTTCTATATAAATCACTTTATGCCAATGAAAAGCCACCCTGAAGATGGCAAAAACTTTTTTATACAGGAAAATATATTTTCATTTATTCACAAAGGTCCAATATGGTTCAACTCCTACTGTGGTCTAAATTTACTGGAATCAACACAAATGCTCTTGATTTCAATAAAGATTATCAAAAGAAAAAGAAAGTATTGGGGCTATATATTGACATAATAACATTTTTAATATACTGAGTAAAATATAATATGGAAATTATTTTCACCCAATTCTATCTTTAAATGTGTTAGTAGAAAGTTTAAGATATGGTACATAGTTTTTGAGTTATGTATCTATTAGACAACACTGATGTAGAGCAATCCATGCTCCAAAGAACATGAAGTTTTTAAATCCCAAAACAAAGAGATAAACAAAGATTGTTGTAATTTTCTATTAAGTTACATTATACAGTAGTCCTTACTAAGTATTTTTTCTCATTCAACTCAGCTATGATTATGTTATCTGTCTAATCAAAGTATCCTTTCAGTTTTGGGTAGATTAAATAATTAAATCTTCTTGGTCTTTGAGGCATTTTCAAGCTGTTTTTGAAAGATGTTAGTAGCAGTCTTGACAGATTTTTTTCTTATGAAGTTTTAAGGAATAAAAAAAAAAATAGATTTGTAAATTTCCCTACAGAGAAAAAAAACATTAAAAGCAGTCTCTCAGAAATCTGAAGACTGGGCTGGGGAGAGAGCTCAGAAGTTTAAGCGCCTGCCTGACAAGTGCAAGGACCCAAGTTCGATCCCCAGTACCACATACCAAAACATGGCATGCCAGTCACTGAAACCAGGCCTGGTGGTGCACTGTAATGCCAGTGCTGGAGAGGCTGAGACGGGAGGATAACTATGAGTCTGAGCTGCATAGTGAGGCACTTTACCAAATAAACAAATATTTTTAAAAAAAAATCTGAAGATTTATCTCTTTAAACAGAAAGATACAAAATTTCACACTTAATATTCTTATCCTGAAATGATTAAATTAACCCTATCTATGGTCTGATAACCTTCAAATTTTCAAGTATGTTGTCATTATAGCATATCCTTTCTAATGATAAAATAACCACGATTTCATTGTCATTACAATCATTAATATTATGAAGACAGAACTTGATTGACTCTCGGAGATTGTATCATGGAAAGGTCAAATGATACTTTTCCCTGCATGAGCTACGTTAATAATAATGAGAAGATCAAAGGCCTAACATCATAGACACCAAGCTTTGCTTTGTTTCATAAATATAGATCATAAATGTAGTTGAATAGTGGGCTTTCAGGTATGCCCACATAGGAATTTCTGGAGCCTGTTGATATACAGCCTTATACAGCAAAAGAATAAATTAATGATGGAATTAAGGCTGCAGTAAATTCACCTCCAAAGAGGGCCTATTTGTACAGGTCTAAGGACACAGATCATCAAATGTGGCAGAAGGGAGCAGAGGAGGAAGGAAGCCTTTGTTAGCTTTGAAGATAGAGGGAAAGGACCATATCCAAGGAAGGGAAGTAGCTCCCAGAAGCTAGAAAAATTAAGGAAGTAGGTTCTCCCACAGAGCCTAGAAAAAGGAACACAAACCTATCAATGCCTCAGTTATACTTTGGAGACAACTATGTTACAATTCTCACTTACAGACCTTAAGATAAAATGCCTGCTGTTTCAAGCTATGAAATTTGTTACAGCAGCAACTGTAAACTTCTATAATAATGAAATTTATTTCATCAACGGGGGCTTACAACAAGGAAAAAAGACTAACATTTTTGTGTGAGGCAGATCCAAATCTATAACAAAGTCAGGAATTTAAAACTACTCAAAATGGTTATATGCAGTAGTTGCTCAGTAACATAATTTTTCCTTCAAAAGAGAACATTATGACAACTGAAGGATACTACGGCATGTTACTTTCTTGTTAAAACAATTAGCTTGAAAAAGCACTTGGCACAGAAGTAGAGCAGATAGCGAATAGGCCTCCTTAAAATAGCAGTGACAAATATTGTAGGCCTAGTACTGAATGTGTTCTTGCTACATTATGTTTTAGATAAGAATGGGTAAGAAACCGTTGTTTTATCTGCTTTAGATAATGAGTTCTAGCTACAAACATCTCAAGGCTGCTACAGAGCAACAATGACAAATGTAGACAGATTTATAATGCTTTTGGCTATAAGCTGTTCAAATTTATGTCAATTAAAGTTGTACAATTATTCAAAGATATTCTTTGCACAAATTCAGCTCAAGGAATCTTTAAAATCAGTTTGTCGGGTTAATATTTTCAGGAAAATGCATGA